CCCCTCGGCCCAGGGCTCGGCCCCGCCGCCGTCAGCCGGCTCCTCCATGGCACGGCCCGGCTCCGGCACCAGGCTCAGGCAGGCGGGCACCGGCATGCCGGCATCCCCCGGCACCCGTGGGGCACGGAGTGGGTCTGGGGGGGGACATAAGGGTGTGGTGAGGGGCTGCGGTCACCCCCCAAGCTCCAGGCAGCGCTTGGGGACGAGAGGGGTTCAAATCCCCCACCATGGACAGCCCCCCGGGGGTTGACCTGATGGCCAGACACTCCAGACAGGGGGGTGCCAGTGCCCCCCACCCCCTAAAAACCCCTGGACCGGATCCTGGCACAGCCCAACGAGGCCTCCCACCCACCTCAAAAATTGGCGGTTCACCCCCACCCTGCCTTACCCCAGAGCCGGGCGATGCCCCCCAGCCACTGGTGGCTATGGTCCCCAAAAGGGGAGGTGGCCCGTCAGGACCAGCGCCATGGCTGTGCCCAAGCCCCCACATGGCTGGCACCCCCCGTGCCGGGGTGGTGTGTCACAGGTGTGCCCGCGGGGACACCTTCCCAGTGAGCTCAGCACCGGCTCACCCAAACCTCTCAGTGCCACCAACACGGTTGAGCACCCCCTGTGCCAGGACCGTGTCCCCCCGTGCCGGGGTGGTGTGTCACCGGTGTGCCCGTGGGGACACCTTCCCAGTGAGCTCAGCCACAGATCACCCTTCTGGACCTATGGTGCCACCCTCTGCTCCCACAGTCCTCCTGGTGCCACCAAAACCACTCGGTGCCACCCAAACCACTCGGTGCCACCAACGCCATTGGATACCCCCTGTGCCAGGACCCAGGACCGTGCGTCACTGGTGCACCTGCAGGGACACCCTCCTGGTGAGCTCAGCCACAGCTCACCCTCGTGCCACAGTGGGTGCCAGGACCCTGCTGGGTGCCGGTACCCTGCTGGGTCCCCACGCCATGCCCCATCCCCGTGCCATGCCATGCCCCCAGACCCTGCTGGGTACCAGTACCCTGCCAGATGCCCGTGCCATGCCACACGCCGCCATCTCACCTGGAGCAGGAGGTGGTACTTGAGGATCCTCTGGACGGGTTTGAGCAGGTAGGCACCGAGGGGCAGCGCGTGGCGCAGCCGCTCCTGGCACTCGCGCAGGAACCGAGCCTGGGCCTTGCTCCTCATGCACTCTGCCAGCGCCGCCACCGAGCTGTGGGGCAGAGAGGGGGCTCAGCCCCATGCCCACCCCGTGCCCCCCCCTATCCACTCCCCCCCAAAAAACTCA